CCCCAAAACCCCAAAACCCCAAAACCCCAAAACCCCAAAAATTTTCGAAAAAATGGGATTATTAATTTAGAAAATTTGGTTTGAAAATGGAACAATTTGAGAGTGGCGATAAAGATCTTGGAAAGAAGAGGCAGCAGTTTAAGTATCAAGATAGGGTGATTTATGAATGGAATCAGACCATTGATGAAGTATTTGTATACATTAAGCCCCCAGAGTTTGTACTCCCTCAACATAAAGAAGAAGTCAAGGCTCAGCTACAGCCTGGACAAGCCATGCCTGAGATGGATATTAAAATTACTAGCAGCCATCTTACTGTGGGAATTAAAGGAAATCCTCCATTTTTGGATGAAGACTTAGGCGGGAAAGTAAACACCAGTGAAAGTTTATGGTATTTCGAAGATGATGAGATACATATTTCCCTCGCAAAGATATATAAAGCTCAGACCTGGACTTGAGCATGCAAAGGACACGCTCCTCTAGACCCTATGACCGAATCAGCAGTGAAAAAGAACATTCTTCTGGAGAGATTCCAGGAAGAGAACCCTGGATTTGATTTCTCAGGAGCAGATGTGAATGGAATGGTGCCAGACCCAGACAAATTTATGGGAGGAGTGACTTATAAATAAACGAATTGCTTTACTTTAAATCCTTTCTGAATGAACTTCTCGTTTAGTTTCTCCTCAACCTTCTTCTTCAGGTCTATAAGCTCTTTGACTCCTTCAGGTGATAATTTTAAGTAACTTGTCTCTTTCAAAGGGTTCAGGAAATTTCGATAATAGCTTGGAACAGGCGCAAAGAGGTGCTTGACCCAGCTAAAGCTGGAACAGTTGTTGCCTAGCATCATATTTATATTAGTCATCAGGGATTCCCGGTTAGCATAGATATTAGGCTTCTTAGCATACTTCTGGTCCTGAAATAAGTAACAAGCTCTCTCATTCAGGAAACTCCCTTTTATCATATCCATTTGGGTTTGGTTCGAGCGGATAAGAGCTCATTCATAGGAAATAACAGGGAATTTGTTGAATAGAGTATAGAGGTTATAGAAGAAAAAGAGTCACAAAAGCAATTGGCCACTTATCTTTAGCTTACCCAAGCTCAAGATGAGAGGGAGTAGCAAGATGTTCATGATCAGAGAGTACAGTCATGTGAAAAGCATCCATTGGATGTAGAGAGAGTAGTTTCATAAACCAATAGGAACCATATCTGTTTTAGAATACCTTAGAATTCAGCAATTAGTCTCTCGACAATGCTCCATTCTGGGAAGTTTGTAAATTTCTCATTGATCACAATATGAGAAGGCATTTGCACTATCATTCTGTATCTGGCTCAATACCCCATATTTATACGCTAGAGCATCAGATTGATCCGCAAAATTAAGGAGGGGTCTATCCTCATCTCTACAGCGCTCTTGCTCTTTCCTGAGTTCGATCAACTGTTTGTACTTATGGTTGATTCATGCTGCTAATTTTGTACCTTCGTTGATATCTACCTTCAGAAGCCTACTAACGAAGGATTCTTTCTTGAGATAGACAATTCCAGGGTCAGTTTTGACTATATTAATTGCGTAAATTTTTCAAATTCCCATAAAAATATCCTGAAACATAAATCATTCATTTACAAGACCACTTACGAAGTTGAATGAACTGGTATAAGTTATGGAGCATTAGGAAGAAAACTATCCAATTAAATTGGTGAAACTCTGCTTTCACATCCATGCTTTTATCACTAAAGAGGAAGGTGTCCTGAGCAAAGCTAGTCGTCATCAGAACTATAAATCATTAGACTCTCCTTACTGACGATTGCATAAGAACCCAGAATATAGAAGCATTTCTTCTGGTAGTATGCCTGCCAAGAGATAGACTCCATTTTGGGCTGTTGCTCTAATTGTGAGGCAAGATTCATTTTAAATTTCAAAATGATTTTATATAAAAGGGGTTTTGGGGTTTTGGGGTTTTGGGGTTTTGGGG